TTTCCCCAGAATCAATCAACCAGAGTTCTCATTTGCCAGCAACAGGACTCCACACCGCACTCAACACAGCGGGGATTTATTGGTGCATGTTCTCGATGGTGGAGCCAGAACTAGGCTTGGACACAGACAGGAGGCCTGGGCACAGGGAACACAGCTGGGGCCCAGCAGACCTGCCCCTTCTGTGATGAACTGGACATCCAGTTGTGTCCACTTCCTTAAACCCACATGTAAGCCCCATGGGAGCATCTGATTTGCCTCATCTGGGGTAAGTGTCGCCCCCATGGTGAATGGGGTGGGAGGGGAAGATCTCCAGCAGCAGGCATGATGAAAGAATATCCAAAAAGGAGATGGGGCTGCCGGTAGGAAGGCACACAGATGGCCACTAAAAATGTAATTTCATCAAGGTTGTGCTTAGAAAAAAGCAACCAAAAATTGAAGATGAACATAACTTAAGACCCAGAAATCCCATTCTAAATGTCTATATACTGAGTGTCTAAACACTAAGAAGTCTCCCACCTGTGTGCAAAGAGACAGTAGCAAGGATGTTGATTGTAGTAATGGAGTAAGAGTGGAAAAAAATGGCAACTCTTAAATGTCATCAAGAAGAATGTGCTCTATTCACGTAGTGAAATACTATTACCAGTTAAATGAACTAAAACGATGTGTCAACTTGAATTTTTTTTTTTTTTTTTTTTTTTTCAGTACACGGGCCTCTCACTGTTGTGGCCTCTCCCATTGCGGAGCACAGGCTCCAGACGCACAGGCTCAGCGGCCATGGCTCACGGGCCTAGCTGCTCCACAGCATGTGGGATCTTCCCGGACCGGGGCACGAACCCGTGTCCCCTGCATCGGCAGGCGGACTCTCAACCACTGCGCCACCAGGGAAGCGCAACTTGAATAAATTTTGACCGCGTAAATGAGTGAAAAGGTCAAATGTACACTATGATAGCATTTATATAAAGTTTAGAAACATACAAAGCCATATAAGCATGTATATAGTTTCAGAATATGTTTATATGCAGCATAGGTATAAAAACCTGGATGGAGAGGAATGGACCGATGTCCAGAGACAGTTCTCTGACCTTCTACATGTCAGCACATCTTGCATGCGAGGCCCTGCCTGCCTTGTGTTCTGCACTATCTTTAGAAGGATGTTCATGTAGGTAACAGACTTGCCAGACAGAGATGTGTCTCCTTCAGCTCCTCTCCTGTAACACAGCCCACTGTGCTGGCAGGTGCCATCTGGCCCTCTTGGCATGGCCCTGTGAGAATTGGGGCTCAGAATATTGGTGCAAAAATGCTAATACTGCTATTGCTGTGGGCAATGAATGGTCCCTTGTCTCTGACCCTGGAGTCGCATGCCTTCTGCCAGCATCCAAGAAACTGTAACAGGCGATAGTATCAGCTTACAAATGGGGTAAAATTTCAAATTCTTCATAACTGTTGACAATTACCTTCAGGCTAAGAGTTGTCTCTAGGAAGGGAGGAAGAGGCCTCGAATAAGAGGGGTCAAAGGGAGGTTGTACATTTCATTTCTCAAGAAAAAGCTCTGAAACAAACATGGCCATGTGACAGTACATATGCCCTTATTATATTCTCTATATTTTTTGGTATGTCTGAAATATTAAATTAAAAAGTGAACTTACATTTTAAAAATCCCAGAGAAATGAGTTTTTTTAAACAATGATGAGTTTTCTTTCTTAAACTTGTAATCTATAGATTGGATCTCCTTTCTTTTTTCCTTCGTATTTTCATCATGTTCATCTCTGTGTTTTTTTCTCTACTTTTTAAAAATTTTGCTTCAATTTTCTTGTTGAGATGAAATGTACATAACATAAGATTGGCCATTTTAAAGGGAACAATTTAGTGGCATTTGGCACATTCACAGTGTTGTGCAACCGTTACCTCTATCTAGTTCCAAACTATTTTCATCTTTCCAGAAGAAAACACTACTTACTAAGCAGTTACTCTTCTCCCCTTCCCTCAGCTCCTGGAAACTACCAACATGCTTTCTGTTTCCATGAATTTAACTACTTTGGATACGTTTTAAAACAGCATCATGCAATATGTGACCTTTTGTGTCAGGCTTTTTCCATTTGACATAATGTTTTCAAGGTTTAGTCACATTGTGGGTTTGAATTTCTGTCTGGGGTCACTTGCTTTTAGTCTGAAGAAATTCTTTTATTGTTTCTTGTAAGGTGGGTCAGCTGCAACAAATTCTCTCAGTTTTTGTTTATCTGGAAATGTCCTATTTCATCATCAGTTCTGAAGGATAGCTTTGCTGGACATAGAATTCTTGGTTGACAGTTTTCCTTTTGAGCCCTTTGACTATGTTATCTCACTTCCTCTGGCCTCCATTGTTTCTGCTGATAAGTTAGCTGTCGATCTCATTGGGGCTCCCTTGTAAGTGAAGAGTCGCTTTTCTCTGGCTGCTTTCAATATTTTCTCCTTGTTTTTGACTTTCAGCATTCTTGCTATAATGTGTCAGTTTGTGGATCTCTTTGAGCTTATCCTACTTGGAGTTTGTTGAGTTTCCTGGGTGTTTAGTGTTGTTTTTTAAATACATTTGGAAATTTTCAGCTCTTTATTTCTTCAAATATTTTCCACTCTTTCTGATACTCCCATTATGCATAAGTGGTTTGCTTAATGCTGTCCCATATTCTTCTTAGGGGCTGGGGGCAGGACTTTGGGTTGGGTCCCAGGAGATGGGAGCCCCCGGAGCTCCTGGTATGGCCTGGTCAGGCTGCCCATGGGGACTGAGCACAGAGAGGAGGGGGAGGTTCGGGGCCGCTGGTGGGAGAGTCGGTGGCTTGGACAAGGGAGATGGGGGTTGCTGCTGAGGAGCACTCGGATTCTGGATGTAGCCACCTGAGTTTCCATCCAAACTAAGTCCACAGTCCAGCCAGGGGAAACTTTTAAAACTCAGAAAAATAAAACCTGAATCATTGCACATCACTCCCTTGTTTAAAACCGGGCAGGAGACTGGGAGGTGGGGAACCCCACCCACAGGGCAGCAGCAGTCAGCTCTGGCCCTGCCGCCACTGGGAATGAAAGGCTGAGGAGCTAGGTCTTCGCATGTCTCCGGAGAAGCAGAAATTTGAAATCTTTAGGTGAAATCTTCCTACTTTTATCCTTTAAAATAATGGAGGTCAAGTGACACATGTTTTGAGGATTTGACTTCTGCTCATAGGAGGCAGTCACGAAGTTTGCTGGATGGAAAAACTGATACTCCTACAGCCTAGGTATCTTTATTATTATTGTTGGTCTTCAGACTTTCCCCCTTGACACAGCGGAGGGAAAGTATATGGCAGTTGTGGTGGTTATGAGGGGAGGGGTGATGGGGAGGGAGGTGGGGACGACCCCAGGGTGGGGGATGCTTCAGATCCTCTGCCATGGGCTCCTTGCTCCGTCTGCAGTCGCCAGGCCCTGTCCATGCCTGACTCTAGGAGGTGAGGATGGGGAAGGGGTGGTGGTGAGGGCAAATGACTCTGGAGGGACTGGACTTGCAGCCCGGGCTCTAAAATGATGGGCTCAGAAGATGTTCCTGCTCCTGGCCCCGATCTGGAATCAGACACTGCTCGTTGTGAATGACCAATACTGAAGCATCCACAGTGATTTCAGCAGCAAGTTATTTTATTGGTTTTAACTGCTTTTTCTTCCAATAACATTATGCTACATGTGTGTGTGTGAGGGAAAAGTGATACCCCAGCGTTGGAGATGCCAGGATGGGCAGCCACTGTGGACGGCTGTCTTCCAACCATGGTGTGGCAGAAGGACCGGGGCCCAGCTCCCTGGACGTGGTGGTCATGTGATTTGACACATCATTTAATATACGTGAGATCCAAGGTTTGCTTTAAGGATGAAATAAGTATGTAACTTCTGGTCGGGGTGCCTCTGTGCTCAACAGATGGCATCGGCACAGAATTATTTTAACATAATGGACCTATTTCTTCCTCTTGTACAACAAAGACTCTTACCAGAATTCCCAAATTCTACTTTGATTTCACACTGATACTTTGATATACTGTAAATAATATGCTGTCAGCCATTGAAATATGAACCTCTCAGCCTACAATTCACCCTGTCCTGAGTATTTATAGGACTAAGATGAATTTTAGGACTGCTTCAGAAGGGCAGCTGCTCATGCCCAGTGATTACGGGAACGTGAGGAAGTTTGCCGAAGAACCTTTCCAATCAGTTTACTGACACCTGAAAGGTCAGAAGGAGAGATTAATTTATTTTTGTTTCCTGTTAATCAGTCTCCTTGGATTAAACTTTGCAGTCATTTAAAACCTTTCATTATGGTTTTAATTTACATTTCCCTAATGAGATGGTACCTTTTCACGTGTTTACTGGCTATTTCATACCTTCTTTTGTAAAGTACCTTTCAAATAGTTTGACTGTTTTGGGGGGACACCTTTCCTTAAAGAAGCTAGATTGGGGGTTATGTTCTCCACAAACAGTTGATCTCTGGCTGAGACGGGGAGATACCCTGGCCCACGATTCTGTGTCGGTCAGGGTTGGATCACAAAAGCAGAACATTTGTAAGTGACACGGAGTCGGTACTTACTACAGGCAGTAGTGGTAGTGAGCAGCGCACGGAAGGGCACTGAATCAGGGCCTGGTAGGACTGGCAGGTGGGCAGGAAAACTGGCTGTGAAGGGGGGGCAGGGATAGACGGGCACTCACAGCACCACTTGGGCCCACAGAGCAAACAAACCCTGTCTGTCTTTTGTCCCTTCAGCCTAAAGGACACAGGCGACTGGCAGAAGGTGCTGGAGTCCTTTGCCATGAGGCTGTGAACGCACCCCTGACCCAAGACAAGGGGACGAGGGGATACAGGGAGAGCAGGTCAGGGGTGTGCAGGCTGCTTGGTGCCTGGCGCCCTGCGTTCCTGGCAGGTCCTGGCCACTGCTCAACCCCTCCTTCCGCGTCGCCCACAACTTTCTCTATGGCATCCCTAACCTGCCTTAGTAAAAGACTAAAGAGGACAATTCAGGTAATACAAACTTTAATGTTTTATGAAGTGGACCTTTTAAATTGCAAAATGGGGCAGAAGGCAAGAAGCTCTCACAGGATAAAGAATAGAGAACGAAGAAGAGACAAAGAGGAAGCACGCAATCAGCGGGGGCTGCAGAGCCCGCCTTGTTTGGGGTGAGGAGGCCCAGAGCTAGTAGTGCATCTGGGGACGGCTGGCTGGATGCCCTGCATTTCTGGTCAAACGAGTGCTTGTAGGACATGAAAGTCATCTACGTTTTGGTGTGCTGACAGGTCACCCCAGGCATGAGTGTCTCCATCTTCAGCCTAGAAATTTATTTCAACACTTGCAACCCCAAGGAAGGGAATTCCGGGGAGCACGGACCCCCGTGGCTAAGTTGACCCAGTACAAAGTCACCGGAGAGCCTGTCCCTGCTGGCAAGGATGAGAAAGGGTGAAGGAAGCTGACAGTTAACTGAGGACATTTTGGGCCAGGTTCTGTGCTGAACACTGAACTCACTGACCATTTGTACCCCGCTGACTGACCGTGTGTCAGAAGGCAGTGTGCTAGGGTGGGGGCTGCAGCAGCCACCTTCTACCCAGCTGCTGGTCACTGCAACGGAGAGCCGGCCCCAAACTCAGCAAGGGACCAGCCAGCCCTGAGGGGCTCTGCTGGACATGGGGGAAGCGGGTGGGGGTCACCACGGCACCAGAGGAGGCAGAAGCTGTGAACTCTTGTGGCTTTAACAGACCAAGGAAACTTCACTACACTTTACTATCTGCAGGTGGTTTGAAAATAATGTTCATCGCTCAGGAGTTGTTCCATCATTTTTGATAACTGATGCGTAGCAGCCACACCTAAGTGCATCTGGATGGACAGTCTTCGAGGTGATTGTTTACATCTTTTACTTGCCGTATTCTTCCTTTTCCTATACCCGCTCCCCCTACAAAGAGAGAGAACAGATGTTTTTTGTTTGGCCCAAGGAGAGTATTGCAGCAAGGCTGAAAGCAGAAGTCGCCTGCAAAATATTTTCCTTTCTGTCTTTGGTGATTTAAAATCTACACTCATAGAGGGGGGAGTGAGGTTTGTGGGTCCTGGAGCAGTGGGGGCAGCCAGATCCTAGAGGGGGTATTTGCATGGAAATGCGGACATGGCCAATCTCACAGCAGATCAGGTGAGGAGGGAATTGTTATCTACAGTTTACAGATTGGACACTGAGACAGTTTGATGGTGCAGACAACACAACAAAATGTGCCCGTGACACGGCTGAGACACACGGGACAGAGGCCTCCCTCCTGGAGCTGAGCTCATCCGTGTCCCGTCCCGTGTATTTATCTGGATGGGGTTTCGCTTCCCCAGCAGAATTACCCTCAATGCAAGCATCTCTCACTCCTTCTCCATTTCTTATTAATTTAAAAGGTACAACGAGTAGGGTGGATCTTTTTTGGATAGCTTAAGTCCCATCCAAATGTTATACATGAGATCCAAATAACCGAATTATATTCTCCGATTCACATTTATCTTGCGGTCAGTTGGGGCCCTCAGAATCTTTCAACATTTGCTCATGGTTACCCTTGTATTTTTGTCTCCTTGGATGACCGACCTTCTTCTGTAGACTAAGTACAGTCGGGATTTAATGGACACCAGGTAAACTGCAGTGAATTTATACTGAGAAAGAATGTTTCTCACATCCCACTCCTTGAAACCATTTTCAGTTGATTTCCACCCAGTTTAGTGATATTTTACCTCAATATTATTTCTTGTCCATCACAATACGAGGTTCCATTCATTTCCCCGATCTCTCTGGGGCCCTTCCTAAGCAGCAGGTGCAGTTCTGGCCGCCACGGACACATGTGCTCCACTCTTCGGAGCAGAAGCAAGTGCTGCTCTCCTGGCCTCCGCCTGGGCCCTTGGCATGAACACAAGAGGTTACTAACGGTCAGGTGAGCTGGCGGATTTTACAGAGAGCAAACGTGCATCCAGACGCCTCTGGCTCTGCCACTGCTGTGGCGAGTCTGTGTGTGTGCAGGGCTGTGGGAGGGGGCAGCTGAAATGCAGAACACATATGAGGACAGCGTTCCTCCCATAGCTGTTTTCCAGAAATACAAACAGAGACCTGCACTTTCTAGTTATAAATTAGGGAAGACAGCAAGAAATGGGAATGCAGAATGAATTAAGATTCATCATAAATGGTAAAGCTGAGGCTAAGATGTAAAATTCGGGTCTCAATTTAAGAGAGTTAAATCGTACGCAAGGAAATGATGCCCAAGTGAAATAGAAGAACAAATTGTTTCCTGTTCTTGGAAAAAACATTTTCTCCACTGTCCATGGGCAGTTTCAGGTTTAGAAGGAAAATGCCATTTCTCTGTTGACCTCAAGAGGGCAAGAAAACAGTTTCTCCAACCCCATAGCTGCTGTTAGTTGGCACATTAAATATAGGCTAGCAAGTAGATGCTTGTCAAGATTCAGATTACCTGTATTAAGCACTGATTAGCTCACTTCTCATTTAAAGAAGTTTTCCGCGGAGGTCAGATTCAAAGCTGTCCCACTGCTGTAGACACTCCTCATTTGCCTGGGGCCTGGGACTCCCTGGGAGCTGGGCTGAGCTGAGCAGGAGGGATGTCAGCGCGGCTGTAGGTGGCAGTATGGTTCAGCTCCCGCACTGTGCATAGCCAGTTCGGGATTTTGTGGTCTGGAGACAAGTTAATCTTTCACAGCCTCAACTTTCTCATCTGTGTAATGGGGAAGACTAGCTGCCACAGTTGTCCTGAGGATTGAATTAGATAATCTCCGTAAAATTCCTAGCACAGGGCCTGGCACAATAAATGGTAGTTAATATTGTATCACCTATGAGCACTGATCAAATCCTACACAGCAGTTACCATCATAGCTGAGGACAGCTGAGGACTGTTTAAAGGAAGTTGAGTTAAGCTAACATTTCACTAACTAAAATGTTACTGATAAGTTAATGTAGATTTCGAAAGATTCTTTTCTCTGATATTATGGAAGCATGAGCTGGTCAACTTTTGGCGGGGAGGTGGAGACATTGAAAATTAGCTGCTTTAATTAGCTGCCCTTCTGTTATACCCTGCCTGAAACCCCAGACTGGTATATTTTGATATGTCTGCAGGGGGGTTAATTTTGGCAATTAATTTGTCTAATTTTGGTGGCTGTAATAAAGCTGGGTTAAAATGCCCGTATGCTGTGGCCAAACCCCTATCAAACACAGTCAGGTTGGCCAGTGTGAATGCTAGTACTTCTGGAAGACAACATGTATACTGTCCGCACTCAAGTGGAGTTTAAGTCCCAAAGGCCTTCCTAGGAGAGATGTAGGGTCCTCCAAGGAGAAAGGGTCGCAGTGGGAAGAATCCACCTGAACTCCCCATCTGGGAAGGGGCTGACTAGGTGGGGGTAGGAGGATTCATCCGTCCCACTAAGGGCCCTGCAGCCCTACTGTGCATCTCAGCTAGTGCCAGAAGGCCGCCTGCCCGCGGCGCAACCCCCCCCCCCGCCCCCCCGCCGCCGTCGTCGTCTCCCGGCTCCGGGATGGAGTTCCCCGTCCGGCCGGCGGTGGGCGCGCGCCCAGCGAGGCCGAGCCGAGCCGCGTGCGCAGCCGGGGGTCCCGCGGCCCGGGCGCCCGCTCGCCCAGCTCGGTGCCCGCGGCCCGCGGAGGTCAGCGCGGCCCGCGCGGGGTCCGGCCAGCCCACCCCGCCCCCGCCCGGCCGCCGCCGGTCCAGCTCGGAGGGGGATGGGGAGAGCGGAGAGGCCGGCGGACAGCGAGGCAGACGGCGCGGAGGCGGAGGCGGCACCCGCGGCACCGTCTCCCGCTTCCCTGCTCGGCGCAGCGGGCCGGCCGGCCGGCCGGGCCGGGAATCTCCTGCGAACCGGGGAGGAGCTGCCGCCGCCAGGCCGGCTGAGCGTCCGGGGAGCGTGGAAGGGGGCGGGGAACGCGGGGAGCCGGGGCCGATCCCGGCCCTTAAAGCGGCCCCCCCGCGCCCCGCGCGCCGGCAGCCTCACTACAGAGCCGCGGCCGCAGGTGAGTGCCGACCCAGAGCTCCGGCGTCCGGCCAAGTTCGGTGCCGCGCGGACCGGGGGCGCAAGCGGGAGGATTGGGCGCCGGAACTGGACGTCCGCGAGCCGCGCCGTCGGCGGGCCGCCCCCCACCCCCGCGAGTCCCGGCGGCGTCGCGGTGGGCACGGCGGCGCCCGGGGCGCTCCCGGGGGCGGGCGCAGGAGGGCGGTCCCCACCGCACCGTCTGCTTCCCGGTGCCCCGCACGGTTGTGCGCCACCGCGGCGGGGGACGGCGTCTGCGGGCAGGTTGTGCGGGCATTGCCACAGTTTGCGGGGAGGGAGGCGCAGAGCGGCGGGACCCTGGACCCCGCGTCCCGGGCACCCCGCGCGCTGAGCGGGGCGCGGGCCGCAGGGGCTCCAGCGGCGGCTGGGAAGCAGCTTGTCCCGGCGCCGCTGGCCCTCAGGCTGAGCCCCGAGCCCGCAGGAAGCGGGCGTGGGCAGAATTTCTGTGACCCTCACGGCGGAATAAACAGGAAGCGACGAGCACCCAGCCCAGCCGCCCTGCCTTTGTTGTGCGGTCTGCGGGGCGCAGCGCAGAGGACGCCTCCCGGGACCCCCGCCGGCCCCCCGGGGGCTAGGCGCGCCCCGTAAGTGCGTCGCCCGAGACCTGGGCTCGGTGCTGGGCAGCTCACCGCGCTGGCCCCGAGGGCAAATCCTTGGTTTTAAACTTTTTTTTTTTTTTTAACTGGTAAAGGAGGAGGCTTCCGATGAGGCGGAGGTTTCTGGAGGACGACGGGGACCGCGGCGGGGTGGGTAGCACCTGGAGAAGGCGGGTAGGTCGGGCCGCTTCCCGGCTGAGCGTGCGCGGGTTGGCACAGCGGGAAACTCGTAGCGAGCTGGGACCCAGACGCAGGAGTGATTACTGAGTGCTGGTGGACACATAAAGTAGCGTAATTTTTGTTTTCCCCAGAGACTTTTTTAATTAGCTAAAATTGGATAATTCTGACTTGCTTCTTTTCTCTTTCTCTGTGTCCCATCTACTCCCTTCTCCTTCTTTCTAATTTTTTTTTGGCAACTTCGCATTCCTGGACCCTTCGCTTGTAGTTCAGTGCTGCTTTCTAAATGTTAGTTATGATGGTGATAATATTTTTGGATGACCTACTGTGTGTAGGTGTTGTGGGATGAGGTGAGGTAAGCTGCACCGTGTTGATTCCAGAGCTGCTGTTAGTAGGCTTCTTGCAGTGGAGGTGGGTGGCGATGGTGAGCCACCCTGGCTCTTGGAAATATGTGGTCCTGTGGCTGGCATGGAGGTTGGTGCATCCCTGGGGGCTAGACCAGGAAGATTCCTTTTAAAATGGTCCTTCCGCCTGTTTGGCTAGCTAAGAGGGTGTTCTCCCAGTCTGTCTCCCCTGAAGCTGCAGGACAGTGTGAGTTACAGGACAGGTCCTGGAGGATCTGCACTGAGAAACTGCCATTGCATCCAGTCAGGTCTGCATTTGCATAGGAGTGTTTAGTCTTCCCAGGACTTATATTGCTTTTACTGTCACCTGTACATTTGCCCTTGTACTCTGCACTGTTCTCTTGAACATGTTCTTTATGTTCAGTGAAGGGTCATGTCAAATTTGAGTCATTCCATGTACAAAGGAGTAGATCTGATTATTATCCATGTACATGTACTGAATTATAGTAGTTGGTTTCCTATCCTTGGATGCTCTTTGATGGCTCTTGCAAACAAGTGCTTTTTAAAACATGGGGGTATATCCCTCATTATCTTTGAGAGCTTAATTCTTTTAAGAGCTTCACTTTGCTATTGACATTGAACACACTGTTAGGAATTAGGGCTGAGACTGTAAGTGCCAGTAAGGGATTTGCTGCAATGGACTTGTAGCTGCCTTCCTCCCGTGTTTTAAAAGCCCCCTCTAATTTCTTAACATTCTGCTGTTACCCTTGAAAGAGTCTTGGCTGTGGTTCTAGTTTGTGGAGGCTTGTATTTACGATGGAGAAGGCTTTTCCCAGCAGGTATTAGGGCTGTCTCTCGAATCCTCTCTGGGGCCCTTTGCATGACCACAGTCCTGCAGAGGAACCCAGCCAGTGCCAGCTGCTTATTAAGGGATTTTGTGCCCATTTGTTGGCATATTGTTTGAGTTAAAGTCTCCTGCCCCCACTTGCCAGAGTATATAGACAAATATTTATTCCCACCCCCCCAATGCTGACAGTGCTCTAAGAATAGTTTTCTTGCCTGGCGCTGGGAGCAGGACCCGCCCGCCTGCAGAGGTGTTTACGGTTTGGGCCTGGGCTGCAGTGTGGGTTGACTTAGCAGCCTGGCATAGCAGCCCGCAGCTCCTGGGACGTGGTTGGCTTTTCCTCAGGGCTGTTGGAGGGTTGCCTCCCAGCTCGACAGGAGCATAGGGAGGTGACGGTGACTTAGTGCTCTGGGTGCGGTTCCTGGCCTGTGGTCCAGCAGAAACCCCTAAGCTTGTCCAGATCCCTGTGCAGTCACCCCCATGGTCTGGGCAGGAGGTCATGGCTTTTTGTCATCACGTAAAACCAACCACTCAGCGCTCAGGACAGGGACACTGGCAACTGTGACTGTTCAGATCTTCCTGGTGGCCCTTTGCAAGTTTATTCCTATCTTTCTTCTGTGTCTGGGCTTATGGCGTCTCTGTGATGTGTCTGTTCTTTTGGGTGAGAGTTAATACAGAAGGAAGAAAGAAATGAAAAGATCATTCCATGTTAACCTGGAAAATTTTTAGAAACATTTGACGTACTTCATATAGATTTGTGGCTATTCAATGTAAACGGTGTGGAATGCTACGGGGTCCCCAGTGCCCTCTCTCCCTGCTTCCACCCCCTCCTTTTTTAGGTCTCAGAACACTCTCCTGGAAGCCAGTATTTTCTCATGTCAAAGTGACTTTCTGCCTACATGGGATTTGTTAGCTTAGTTACACCGTGACCTATACCATGGGTGTGATGGAAAGTGAATCTTCAGTTTTTAAATAGCAATGTGTAGCTTCTGACTCCATCTGAAAAGTTAGGCCACAAGACCTGCCATGTATTAGGGAGATTTTTTGGTGGCGTTATTAGCTTTATTTTTAGGCAGCTAGGGGACACAGGTGAGCACCTGTACTATTAATTGCTGTAGAAATATTGGGTTCGTATTTCCCATTAATACTGTTTTTCTCTCTATCATAGGAGGACTTGAAAATAATGTTTGTGTTGTCTCCTATCCATGTGATTTGAGTATGGATTGCTTTTCTTTGAATTTCCACTAAAAATGGTACTTTGGCCTTTTAAGCTGTTTTTGTAAGGACTTTTCTTTCCACCAGGCTTGTTTTCCAGATAGGTCTTGGAAATTACGAAGAACATAGCTATAATTTCTCCCTTGATTGGCAGCAGAGCGCTTTCCCGGACAAAAATAAGGCTGCTCTGTGCCAAATGGTTGACTTTTCTAGAATAAAAACTCTAAAGGGTTTGCAAAGAGTCCTCTGGTTAATATATTGGCATTCCCAGAACCCACTAAAACCCCCGGCAGCCTGCCAGACACCACTTAATGAGGACGCAGAGTGTCTGGCTCAAATCCCCACAAGCAGAAGCGGGTGGAGGCTGCTGTCCACACCCTTTATTAATTTTTAATGACCGTACTTTTGTTTTGCAGATTTTGCTCTGCACCCCCTCAAGACCAACAGACACGGGTGCCACCCCTCCCCCACTCATTTACTCATTTCCTTGGCATTGGAAAAGTGTTGAGACTTTCAAGGTTTAGAATCCTGCTGAGGGATCATTTCTGTTTGCATGAGTTCTTTTGTGGTTGGCTTTCTTTTTTTCTCATTCTTTCTCTCCCAGCCCCGCCCCCACCCGCCTTTATTTTGGAAGAGGAAGAGAGAAAAGGAACAGAAAAGGAGATAACTTTTTTTCTTATGATGCTTTATTGTCTGCTGGAAAAAAGAAGCACTTATGAAACTTTAAGTTTGTCAGACAGTTTATATGACAGTGCAAGTTGGTGCTTGCCAAGCTTCAGACAGATTGCTAACGTTACATGACGGGGATAAATAAATTACCGCTGTGAGCGGTGGGCAGGGCCTTGGGCACCCAGGAGCATGCAGGATGTGCAGTACGTGGGTGTGTGGAAGGTCTCTGCGCGCTGCCTGGAATTCTGTGACTTGCTTTGGAAGCGAAAAGGGTGTGTCTCTTGCTTTTATTTTCACCAGGGCTGCAGGCGGCAGAATCCAGGGAGCAGCTCTGTATTTTTCCCCGGCCTGGTGGCCCTGCCCCTCGATGGCCCCTTATCCCCATGTCTCCCCTCCTCTGCATCAGGGGACATGGCACCTCGTCTTCCATCCAGGGTCCAGCTTCCGACGAAACTAAACTTTGGCTGCTGTTCTTTCTGCAGGTGCAGGCATTGAGAACAAATTGTCTGACCTAAGTGTGTGAGCTGCCTGGGAGGGGGCTGGGTGACACTCCTTGGGCACAGTGTACTTTCATCTCTGGCGTGTGGATAGTCAGCTGGCAGAGTGACAGGTGTAATGAACTTAATGGTCTTGCTCTAGTTGCTGGCGGACACACTGCTTGTATTACAAAGCCACCTCCTAAGTTGGGCCCTGGCCAAATGACTCGCAGGATCTTCTCTGTGCAGACAGGATTCAGAGCCTGGACTGGCTAGGAATTGGGTGGGTGTGAGCGACATGGTCCCTAAATGGACCTAGAATTTCTCTTTAAAGTAAGCCTGGGGGCTTCCCTGCTGGCGCAGTGGTTGAGAAGTCCGCCTGCCGATGCAGGGGACGCGGGCTCGTGCCCCGGTCTGGGAAGATCCCACATGCCGCGGAGCGGCTGGGCCCGTGAGCCATGGCCACTGAGCCTGCGCGTACGGAGCCTGTGCGTCCGGAGCCCGTGCTCTGCGACGGGAGAGGCCACGACAGTGAGAGGCCCGCGTAACGCAAACAAACAAAAAAGAAGTAAGCCTGCTCTGTCCAATTTGCAAAAAGGCCCCATCCCATCCTACCCCCCCCACCCCGCTATCCAGCCATA